CCTCGCTGGGTATCTTTAAGAATCAATTAAAGACATGGATGTTTCAGCAGGCCTTCCCATCAGATCTTTCCTCTCTTACTGTTTCTTCTGTCTTGTGTAATGCTTTTACCATTTAGAACTGTTTATATATTTTTTTATTGTATCATTTTATGATTGTTAGCCACCTAGAGTGGTCCTGACCCGACCAGATAGGCGGGATATAAATAAATAAAATAAATAAATAAATTAAATAAATAAACATAAGGACAAAGCATTTTTCTTAAGGAAATCATTGACACATTTGGAGGGGACAAATCATTGACACATTTGGAGGGGACAAATCATTGACACATTTGGAGGGGACAAGCTAACTCCACCTCCTCCCTTGTAACTTTGCACACATGAAGAACTAAGGGGTCTAAGAAGGATCCTACTCATGTGAAGATTCTGCACAAACAAGAATCCAGATATCCCAAGGTATTTGCTTCTGTGTAAAGCCAATATCTGAAGAAGACTCTCTACTCTCCAGATATGTCACTAATTATGTGGGGTGGGGAAAATGAGGAGGTTTCAATAGCTGGTCCCCTCCAACTGTCCATGATTCTAAATCTCAGAATAACTGAATAGGGAATTCAACATTTCTGATAGAGAGCTGTCGTGTTGTAGTAGAGGAGACAGCATCACTGGTATCAAACCATGTACTGTGCATATGCTCAGAGATGTAAGAGGTGACCCTGAGCCAGTTGTACCGAAATGCTGCTAAAAGCAATAGTGTCTGGATTAATTATCATTAAACTGTCTCATTCTATTGATTTCAACAGCATGTGTGCATGGTTATCAAATTCCAGCCCAGAGACATGCTTTCTACCTTGAAATTCTCTGCTGTCTTTGGCAATCAATAATGATACACCAGCAATAGTATTCTTGTCTTAGTGATTCTTAACGCTATTAAGTGTTGGGCTGGAACTCCTATCAGCATTAGCCAGCAAAGCTAAGGGTGCTGGGAGATGCAGTCCTATGTGGTGGTGGGTGGGTGTGGATCAGAGGAAAGTGAATGATGCTTATGGGAAAGAATGAGGAGAGACAAGGGAAGACTAAAAGTCAGTGTCAAAGACTGAAAACAGAAAGAAGGCTGCTTGAAGGCTATGATTTCTTTGCCTTTGCCTCTTTGTAGCCAGGGAACACTGGCTACAACTCATATATCTCAGAAAATTTCCTTTGCTGGCGTACATGTTCAAGAATCCTCCTAGTCAGCAAGACTTTGGGATTCTGTGGGTCATCATCCCAAAAAGGTAACTTTTGAAAGCATTGGAAGAAGGGAGATGTAAAGTGCCAGGAGAGTTATTTTTTAAAAAGTTCTTATGCAGTGTATGTTTGAACAGGGGAAGCAGTGGGATTGGGGAGGTTTAAACTTTCTGTATCCAGGCAGTAGAACCTGGTCTGGATCAGGAGTCTCCATGCTTACTTGTCTATCAAACAGTAGCTTTTATCTGCATGTTATACATTTAATATATAAACTACCGCTTAATCCTAAACAGAAGTAACCTTCATGAATTCCAACAGAATTTGAGTAAATTAATTTTTTTACTCAGTTATTTACTGTGCTTAGGATCTCAAGTCATTACACACAGAAAGATTCTTTTCAAAGCATGTAATAATAAATGCATGCTCTAAATTTCATCTAGGGTCATCCGGGTCAATTTTTTTTTCAATGACATCAAGTTAAATTTATCAAGCTGTTGCAGACAGATTTAGGAAGGTTAGATCACTGGTTCTTAACCTTGGGTTACTCAGGAGTTTTGGACTGCAACTCCCAGAAGCCTTCACCACCAACTGTGCTGGCTGGGGTTTCTGGGAGTTGCAGTTCAAAAACATCCGAGTAACAAAGGTTAAGAACCACTGGGTTAGATTATGCTCATCCTTCTCCCTAAATGCAAGTGTAGCACAGTTTCTTGTAACCCTCCCCCTCAAAGATAGATCCTACACAGTGTGATGCAGCTGTTCCTTAGTATTCTTCAGAGATTAGCAGATTATAGCATTAAGTTTATCGAAACTACAGCTGTGACTAAAAGCAGCCTGTTTATATCCATGCATCACACTATCACACAGAAGGATTTGGTGCCTTGGACAGCAGAATTTTTTTTCTGTGCATTTGGCCATTCCCTGTTCTTGAAGAATAGAAATGTGTGATGCCACACAGCGAACTCCACACCTTCTCCAAAACTAGGTCCGGTGGGGTAGAAGATACTGTTCCATCACAAGTGCTATAGATGCCAATCTAGTGCACTTCTGATATGGAATGGGTGAGGGGGTCATCATGTTCTTCAGGCCAGGCAGCAAAATGTCTTGGGATGGAATTACACTGGGTTGCAGATCGAATGAACAGGCCAGTTACGTACCAAGTGGAATTAAAACAAATACATGGCATTCACTTGTTGGGGGTATGTTATAAAAATTTCTTAGAGAAGGATATTTACTTCACTAAGGCTACATTGCAACTAGAGCTGGGAAATGTTTGTCTTTTTTTAAAATACAATTCCCAAAATTCCAAATTCCCAGATTTTGGGAATTGCAATTTATATTTCTCCTCTTTGGTCACTGCCTTGTTTTACAAGACTCTGTTCAGTTTCAAAAGCAGCTTGCTATGTAACAC